CACAGTGCTACTGAGCGTCACTAAACAGTCTATAAATAATCCCTTCACAAAAAAGTCCTGTGCATTTTCCCTATTTCTGTGTTTAAATGATAACGCACTTTAAGTTCCAACAATCCTTTAGTTAGAACACTGTGCCTATTTCAGCCACAGCAACAGTCCCTAAGAGTCCTGACAGATATGAGGGTGCAGAGCTAGCAGTGACTCTTGACTTTGTGTTACTGTACCAGTGGGCATGGGCAGTTCTTAGGTTGTAAAAATGCTCAGTTTCATGCACATATTGATTGTGAGTCCAAGAAAACACAACTGTCTTACAAAATCATTTAATTTCAAAGATAACAGTAAGGAATATAAAATTCTCCATGAAAAATAGGGGTCCTAAAATGTGAGAACTAGACTCAGTCAAATGAAATGTTTCAAATAGTACCAAGAAAACACACCTACTCTCTCTATAGCATAGAAGATAATGAAGCCTAAAAGCTAGAAAAATTAAATTCTTCTAAAATCATGGTGAATCAATGTTATTAAATTAGCATCTTTTACATTCTCTACATATAAAAATAAGCATATCTCTGCAAAAAGTCTTAGTTTCTTAATCCACACAATAGCGAGTCTCACTGTCATCCTTCCTTTCCTTTCCTTTTCTTTTTCTTTGAATCTCCTCGCTAAGCTACCTTGTGTCTGTGTAGAACATCATAACCTATAACCTTTCTAAACATCTCTTCAAGGCTCTCCAGGTTCTTTTGTGACTCTTCCTCTTCACCGTCATGTACATACAATGCATGAAAAACAATGTTGACTCTTGTCTCAAAGGGGCCCTACATCTGTTCCCTACTTTCAAATCCCACAGCCACCAGGTAGAGGTTCCTTTCTATTTCTCTGCTCTCTACTCATGGCCTTCTGGCTGCAGTCTTCAGTCCATATCAAAGCATGACCTTCCTGATAGGTAAACCTGACCATGTTAATCCTTCACTCAAAAGGAAACTATGAGCACAGCCAACTACTTCAGCCCAGCCTGTCTTGGTTCAAGTCACACTTCAGCATTCATCTCTGGTCACAATGAACAGGCCACTCTAGCCAAACCTGTAGGGAACTCACAAAGTTTTGTCTGCCCACTCCATTCTCCATGTTTTTCAACCAATCCCTCCATGTGAGTATCCCTAGAAATCAACCCATTCTTTCTCTATTTTACTCAAGAAACCTGCACTGGTTTGTCTTTTAAGCTTTTGATGCTTACCACATCATGTGCTTATAAGAATTCAAAGCTTATTCTTGTCCTTAAAAGATGCTTTTCTGTTTTCAAAGCTACTCACAGTCTTCCAGGGCCAGGGACTCTTGCCTCTTCCTATCCTCAGCTTCTGCCATTCATTCCTGCTGCTCTACCAACTTTGTTCATCTGGGACAAACTCTGTTTTTCCCTCAGCATCATGTTAATACTGATACTGCACCCACATGATTCATTTTCTTTATGCCTTGTTAAAAGTCAGCGATATTTTTAAATATAAGCAATTAAATTTAAATATATGTATAAATATGTACATATACATATATAAATATATACATATATAATTTAAAGCTGTATATAAATAACAAACGTGTGCTTTGTAGAAAGTCTGAGCCACCCATTCATATTTGGCTTAGATAACTATTTCCACGCACAAATATCATTCTCCACCATTTCACATATATCAACAGCCACTATGGTCACAGCATAGCATAACTCCCTAAATTTCCCTACCTATTGTTGATAGGTCAGTCAACATAAAGAGTCCCAGGGGTGCACTATGGTGAAGTTAAAATGCCTACATATAACATGTAAAGAATTTAATGAAAAGGAGATTTTTTTTATTGTTGTATTGGAGTAAAAAGCTACCAACATGGTGATGGTGGGAGTCTGGAAATTGAGCTTTCTGAATGATAAATATAAACATAGAATTGGAACTAAAACATTCTATACCACCAGTGTAACAGTATCTTCTCTGAGTGGAGCCTACACGGTGCTAATAACTATCAGAAAATACGCTTGCAGAGCCTGCCCCTCTGGAGTTTTTACAAAATGCCTGGTACTTGACAATGATGTGACTGTACTTGGTGATATTATTAGTATGCTTTACAAAACTTAGATTCTTGTGCAAAGAATAATTGTAGTTATTCAATGCTTAGGAAACAGGATTTCAAAAGGAGAGTTGTCTGAGACACCACGTGCACAAAATGAGAAATCAAAGTAACTGAAGGGAAAAGCTGATCTGAGGTTCTCTCTAAACTTCCAGGTGTTTCTTTCTGAAGAATGGCTGGGATCTACTTCCTGTGCAGGTAGTACTTGAGAACTCTCAGCATTGTGCTGTCTGCTAGCAAACACGGTACATTCATCAGGATGCTTATTTTAAACTTCAAACAAATTAGACTAAAATTTAGAGTCTTTATTGTTTGTTTTGCTTGGAAATACATAGGAGAGTTTATCCAAGTCAATAAAATGAGAACACATTTAGTTGAATAAAGCAAGAAAAAATATAGTAGGTGCTTGGACAGGAGCTGTAAAGGCTCATGAACTAAAGGTATGGTCCCCAGTTGGCAGTGGTTAAGGATGACTGAGTTACAAGAGTATTAACTTCATCAGTGGGGGAACCCATGTGTGAGTTCATAGTTGAACAAGCCATGGTAGGTGACCTAGGACACACTTGTGGAGATGAGTCCCTGGCTCTTTCTCTGCTCGCTCTGGTTGCCATGACATGAAGAGCCTTTCATTTGGCTCTGCTCTTTCACCATGATGTTGGTGCTTTGCCTCAAGCTTAAAGCAGCAGACTACACAGACCATAGACTAAACCTGTAAGAGCAGTTGCGACGCTATGTCTTACCTTTCTTATACTACGTATCTCATGTCCTCTGTCACAGTGAGGGACAGATAGGACAGGGTGCAGCAGGTATGGGAGAAGCTTCTACGTGCAGCCTCACACTGCTGCATGTCCATGCCTTGCTTTCTCACTATTTCAGAAAGTATCACAGCTCTCTCAGCTTGAAGGGGACTTAAACAATTCACAATAAATCTTAAGGAAATAATCGTGAAGATGTGTGACATGACATGGTTGGTTCAATCTGTATTTATTTGTACTTAACCACTAGTATTATTCTTAGTAATAACTTATATTAAGGTAAAATACCAAGTTAACTGAATTGGAAATCACTGTTTTCTCTAGAGCAACCAAAACAGCATTTTTTTCCTTCTGCAGCAATGTACAGAGCTTGTTTTATGATATGATTTCTTGTCTCCAGTAATCAGTGAAGCGATATAATGTATACTGTGGTCAGCATTTCTACTTTCTGATGCAGAGAACTGGGATGCTTTTTGCCTAGATACTGGCATCTTTACTATTGTTTTCATTTTATGGTTACTCACATATGAAATAACTTTTTTAATTATGTGTTTGTGTGTGTATGTATGTGTTCACACTAGTTATGTAGCAGACCTGTGGTGCTTGGAGAACAGCTTGCTGGAGTCATTTCACATTTATCTTTTTTGGGGGGTAAGGTGGAGTGAAGAAAGGCTTTGTTTCATCTTACACTTTACAGGCCATCAAGGGAAACAAAGCAAGAGCTCAAGGCAGGGATCTGTAAGCAAGATCTGAATCCATGTTCTGGAGCTGGATCCACCTGGCTTCCTCAGGTGCCTTTCTCATACAGCCCAGGTCCTCCTGCCTTGGGATAGCAATGTCTAGAGTAGGACCAGTCCTCCTACATTAATAAATGACCAAGAGAGCAACCCATAGACATGGCTACTATTCAATCTAATGGAGGCAATTTCTCAACTAAAATTCTCCCTTACCAAATATGTCTAGGTTCACATCAAGTTGACAAAAATAAACCAGCAATGCATTCTCTGAACGTTAATTCACACTGTAAACAATATCGTTCAAAAATTGGTTACTAACCTTTTGTTATTACGAAAGTCACTTTCAACATATTGGTCCTAGGAATCCAACTCAAGTCATCAGTGCGCTATACCTGCTGTGCGCTATACCTGCTGAGCCTTCTCATCAGTATAAAAATAATTTCTTTCACTGGTTCAAAATTAACTTAAGCTTCTTTATTAATGTTCATTGTGAAAATAAGCATCTTGATCATTATGTATTTAAATTATACTATAGTAAATTTCAATACCTGTTTAATATGTTGTAGCTGGTACTGTAATTCACATTAAGTTATATTCTCTCTCTCTCCCTCTCCCTCCTACACTTCTCTTTCCACCCCCTCTCTCTCTTAGACAAGATCTCTAGCACAAGCTAGCCTCCAGGTTCCAATGTAGTTAAGAACGGCCTTGAAATTCTTATTTTCCTGCCACCACACCCAGAGCACTAGGATTACAGGCACTTGCACTTGAGCTGGACCATGAGCACAGTAACACATGTGAACATAGGACAGGTGGTACATACCATTTTAAAGCACATGAAACAGAAGCTTGCAAAACGGTATACAGAACAGAACACCTATCCAGTGAGAGATGCTAACAGGTCAGAAAGAAAATAACACATTGCTTGGGGGTGCTCCCTCTTATCCATTCAGCCACATTTCCATGCTATGTAAACCTCCCTACAATCTAAAGTATTTGCAAGGTCTTTCCTGTGATTTTTCTTGTTTGTAAATATTACCCAGTGGTCAAATGCTGACACACTTGCACTATCAAGCATATTCTTTACAAGTGATTATTCTGTAAGACAAAACTACATTTTCAAGGATTTAAATATTAACATTTACTTGACATTTGTATTAGTTTGTCATTAATAAACCCTGTGAATTGATTCAAAGTCTAAAGTAAGGGCTCTTTGGGGGGTTTGGGTTGTTTTTCATTGATTTTTCTTGAAAAAAAAATGGTCTTCAAATGTCAAACCTAGTCTTTGTCATAACTTTAACTATAGCACTTTAATTTTCTCATGTAATGTTAAATATGTTTCTTTTATAAAAGGCATGGATCTTATGATCAACAAAACCAAGACAGAATATAATCTTACCCTGGTGTGAGTACGGATGTGCATCTTCAGTCCATCATTTTTACTGAATCCTTTTTCACAGTACGGGCACTGATAGGGACGCTCTCCTGCAAATAAAGGAAGCCCCCACGTCAGTCAGCGATAAGTAAAGCAGCAGAGCACCCTCGGCGCCACTGCTCCTCACAGGGTCATGACAGGCACAGCTTGGCCGGCAGAAGCACCATCGTACAGGAAGCACACACCAGGCATTTCCTCCAGCCCAACTCGGCTAACACTCAGAAACAAATGAGTAGCCCACAGGTTTGCTGCACGACCTTCTAATATATGAATCAAATTAAATGCACTGATTCCAAAATCTTGTAAAAACTATTCTATATCAGTCTGTTCTGTGACCATGCTCCTCACTATGGACGCCTTAATTTTTTTTAAATAACTTTGCTTATAAACGTTTCATATAAATATATATGGCTCACGGGAGGGGGAGGGAAATGGGAGGCGGTGGCTGGGAGCAGGCAGAAATCTTTAATAAATAAATAAATAAATAAATAAATAAATAAATATGGCTCCCATCTATGCATTTCAGAATAATCCCATAAAGCTGGCGCATGTTAAACAGCATCATTGGTATTTAAACTACACAACAATTGATCCACACTTTTTTATATAACTAAGTAGCTCTAAATTAAGACTGTAATTTAGAAAATTGGAAAGATGTTTTTCAAGGCAAGTAAGACCACACAACCCCCACCCAAAGAAAGCTAAACTTCTATTTTAAAATGACAGAATGCAATAAAATCCAACATATCAAAAGAATTCAAGGCTGTTCTCATCAAAGCACAAGTATTTACATAATAAGTTGGGTCCAAATCATCAGTTTTCTTTATCCTTTCATTGAACAATAGACAAATAGGACAAGATGCTAGAAATTTCCTATATTCCAAGATCAGTAAAATGAAATGAAAAAGAAAATGTCCTCAGCAAGTAAAAAAATCTATCTTTCTTTGCCTCAGGGCCAGGCCTGTAATGTCCTCTGCTCTTTTGTAGTCAACCTGAGAATCCAGCCCATGAATTATTCCAATTACCCCAACAGAGCAGCAATGAGCTCTTCCTTGTTCAACCTCACCACTTTCCTAGAAGAGGCCTTTCTTCACCTCCCCCTTACCTCTCACCTTCCCCACATCTTCACCGCCTCATGAGATGAGATTCAAGACTGACCTAACTCACCCCCAGTCTGCCCCTATGGAGCTAGCATGTGGTGGCAGCTCCAGCAGAATGGTATTTTCCAGCTTTTCCCATTTTAAGGGGATCACCTTGGCCATTATTCTACACCACAGCCTTTGATGTTATGTTAAAAAAAAAAGTATGGACCAACTGTAACTTTAATTCCGGTGGTTCAAATGGCACAATAAAATGGTTGCAATCTCCACAAGGGAAAGAATAGAAACAGCAGCATCAGCCAAAGTATGAACAGGGGTCTTTAATAAACTACCCAGATCTACTAGCTACCGAAAGAGAATTAAACTTCTAGCACCTGGCAGTACACCTGGGATACTTGAAGTAATAACTATGATTCTAGGACATGTGGCTTTTCATGAGAAAATAAAGGTTATAATTTCTAATATTAAAAACAAAATGATAATCATATGCTTATCTTATTTCCCATCTCTACTGAGCCTCAGTCTCTATATACCCATCTGTCGAACATTGTATACCTAATGAACAACTGAAATTCTGCATGTACACTCTAAATTTATGATCGTATCTTCTGTTCCCATGTTCTCCATATACACTGTCCTAATCAGCTGTGTAGATTTATTCAGATATCAAACAACAAAATCCCCATACATCTGTAATGTACAACAAATCCTAAATAAGATGATATTCACTCTTGCTATAAAATCAAAGTATGTGTAGCTATGTGAAGTCATAGTTGTGTTCATTTAATTTTATTTTAGTAACTATTTATTATTATTATTTATTATATGTATTATAATTGCATGAATGACTTAAGCATACAATAAAGTTTATTGAAAAAGAGAAACTTGAGAACTGTCCAGATACCTCCTTTTAATTCAACTGTATCTAGATCCAGTCTCTGGTCATAAAAATACCCTGGGATGTTCCTCAGGATGATGGGAACATGAAGACAGTAACAGTAGTGCACCTACTATGGTCTGCAGCAGGACCAAGGGTACAGCAGGAGCTGCCACTTACCAAGTTACTAAACATGTAACATAACCCTCGACAGAAGTATAAGGACTGCAAAAAAACAGACACACTCATGCTAATGGTCATATTCCTGCAGTATAAAAATTCAAATGACTTCATTCTCTTAATCATAAAAACTTACAAGTAATTTTAACAGTGTTGGTGGTTTTAGTGTTTTTTGTTGTTGTTGTTTTTGTTGTTGAGACAATATCACTCTATAAACTATAGAGAGTCTGGAACTTACAATATAGACCATACTTGCCACATAGACAATCCTGTTTCTGCCTTGTACTAAGATTATAGACATTGCCATACCCACCTAATATTTAGAACATTCAAAGTATATTTATTCATTTATTTTACTTAACTGATATAAAAAGTAATACTGAGCTCTTTTTTTCCTCTTTGACTATTATTAATAATTGAATTCATCAGCCAATCAAATCTAGATGACAGTAAAGGGTGATTAAAAACAAAAAGTTTGAGGGCAGGACAGATGGCTTAGAGGTTAGTGCATTTGTAACTCTTGTAGAAGACTTGGTACTATTCACAGCATGCACATGGTGGTTCACAATCATCTGAAACTCCACTTACAAGGTGTCTGAGGTTCACTTATGAACTCCACAGCTACCAACCATGCACATGATACATGTACATGAAGGAAGGTAACACACTCATACACATAATTTTTTTAAACAATTAAAACTTTTAAAATGACACACAGACAGATACTTAATTTTTCTTGCCAACCACTGTGTACCGATTTCTCCTGAGTTGGAACATTCTCTCCTAGAGGGAGGAGGGAGGCTTCTAAGATTCAGAAAGTAAAGAAACCTTACAAGACCCAGCAAGTCCCTGGGAATTACATGACTATCAAAGCCCCTTCCCAAGGTTATATAAGAAGTAACAATTTCCAGGGAGAGATAGTCCAATCAGTCAAGCTGTCTACATATGATGCAGTGAGCTCTCTAAGATGTAACTTTCATAAATTTTGACCCGTGATGTAGGTGGGTCTTTATCTGTTGTTTCATTGGTTAATTAAGAAACTGCCTTGGCCCTTGATAGGATAGAAAATTAGGTAGGCAGAGTAAACAGAAGAGAATGCTGGGAGGAAGTGAGGCAGACGCCATGCCTCTCCTCTCCAGGGCAGACGCAATGAAGCTCCGGCCCAAGATGGACTTACGCTAGAATCTTCTCGGTAAGACACCACCTTGTGGTGCTACACAGATTACTAAATATGAGTTAAGCAAGATATGAGAGTTAGCCAAGAAGAGGCTAGATATAATGGGCCAAGTAGTGTTTAAATGAATACAATTTGTGTGTTGTTATTTCGAGGCATAAGCTAGCCAGGTGGCCGGAAGCAGGGCAGCAGGAATGCAGCCCGCAGCTCCTTCAATAGGCCCATGCTCTAGGGTGGGGCTGTAGATGCAGTTGTCTTTGAATCACTCTGGCAACCTCCTACCCACACTTCTACAAGTAAGTCCAATACACTAACAGATTTGTTAACCACTTATTTGCTCATTAGATGGAGTTGTTTGTTTGGGTTGATGTCAGTGCTCTATTTGGGGTAGAGAGACATTTATTCACATCTCTCCAGAAGAATGAACACAATTGGTGCTAAACTTTGTTCATAATAGTTAGAAACTAGAAACTTATATGACCCTTATCTAAAGGATGGGTAAAGAAAATGTGGTACAATTACACAATGAAGTATTACTCAGCTGTTAAAAATGATGACATTATGAAATTTGCAGGCAAATGGATGGAACTAGAAAAACTCATCTATAGTGACTCAGAAAGACCAACATGGTAATAACTCACTTGTAAGTAGATTTTTATCTGTAAATTGAAAGATAATCATGCTACAGTCCACAGACCCAGAAAGGCTAAGTAACAAGGAAGGGTTTTAAGAGGGGATGAAAGGATATCTATGGAGAGGGAAAATGGAATAGATTTCTCAGGTGGGCTCTTAGGGCAGGTGGGGTTGGGAATAGAAGGGATCAGATGTGGGGGAGAAAATACTGAGAGAAATGATTGAATTGAGGGGCATTTAGGTGCTGAAGAGAAAACCTAGTACAATGAAAACTACATGGATTCTATGAGCAATCCTAGCAAAGACTCCCAGTAATGGGGGACACAGAGCCTGAACTAGCCATCTTTTGTAATCAGACAAGGCCTCAAGTAGAGGGATTGGGGCACCAGCCCAGCCTCAAAACTTTTGATCTACAGTTTGTCCTGCCTATTAAGCATTCTAGAACCAGAGCCTAGCAGAAATGTCATAAAAGAGATCAGAGACACTTCATCCAGCAACTGTTGGGAATAGATGCAAAGTCCCACAGTCAAGCATCAGGCAGAGCTCAGATAATCATGTGGAGGAAGGGAAGGAAGGCTCCCTGGAGTATTAGGGTCTGTGGATCACCCCACAAAACAAATACTACCACTCACATATGCAATCGAGCATTGTTTATTCCGAAATGCTGGGCTCAGCCAGGCACACAACAAAATGTGGGTGACCCCGATGGAGCTCTCAGGCTCCTTTTACAGGCAGACACAGGAGTGGGAAGGGTAGGATTAGGTTATCCTAAACACAACTAGCTGAGGCTGTAGTGCCAACTCATACAGGAAATGAAACTGAAACTGAGGCATTGTAGAGGCTGGGGCCAAGAGAAGCCTCCCTGTGGTGCTACCATAGCCTCTCAGGAGATACCAGGAGGTTCAAGGACAACATAAGAACACGCCCATGGAATAACTGGCTGGGACTCATTGGGCCTCACAGAGATAAAGGTGTCTGAAATAGGTCCTTTGCATATATGTTATGGCTGAGCAGCTTGGGATCCTTTTGGGATTGCTAACAGAGGGAGCAAGGGCTATGTCTCTTTTCCCCACTTGGGACCCTCTT